TTTCAAACTGTAAGTGCTAAAAATTCTATAAACAGTTACATCGATTTAATTGTAATTAACGGTAATATAACTGGATAATTTAATTTATTGCTGTAATGAATTGAAAAAAAAAATAATAATAAAACTATTACAACCATTTAATTGTGATTGTAACTGAACAGTTACAATTATTTAATTGTGATAATTCACTAAATTTACAACAATTTAATTATCATTAACAATTGCGTAATTGAGTTTTAAAAACTCAACCAGCTACAATCTCACTTAAATCACTCGCGTTATCGTTAATTAGAATTAAATAGTCTTTAACTTCATTTTTTAATAATTGTAATTAACTGTAACTGATTTAATTGTAATTAACGGTAATATAACTCGATAATTTAATTTATTGAATTGGGGAGGGAAAAAAATAACTATTACTTACAACTATTTAATTGTGGTTGTAACTTAATTATCATTTAACTATCACTTACAGTGTAACCGTAATTAGTGGCATAAAACAATTAATTGCAATTAACTAATTTATGAATTAAAATGCTAACAATTCAGCGTTGAAATTTATAAGCGCCGTGGACCTTTTTTTTTGACAGTTAATTACAGTTTTATCCGAACGACAATAAAATAATCGCGTATTCTGTTAAGAAAAAAAACAGCAATAATTCTGTCGTAAAGTGTCATTAAAATTTCATGATTTCTTCATTATTTTCTCGATTTCAGAATGCATGCAACAGAATTCTTGCAGAGAAATTATGTATAAATCGTTCCTTCCAGACAGAAAAAACAACGAGAGCATTGTTAATTTACCGTGCCATTAATAAAACAATAGAAAAAAAAATAAACCACGGTTCTCACATCACTAAAGTTCATTAGTAGTAAAGTGCAGACAGCCAGACGTTCCTCAAATACGCATTTTTATAATTTCCCAGATGCTTTTAATCCCTTATGTACAACTGGAAAGACGAAGAGTTATACATATTTTAGGAACAATTAAATCCTTAAGTGTATATAAATATATATTTTAAAGATTTTACGGATGTAAATTTTGTACAGAAGTGTCGATTATCCAGGATATTCTTGACGTTCCATTCGACTCCATTAGAGAGGTTGCGGCCGACATTTTCAACGCGAAAACGTGTACGTCGGACGTTCAATGCCGCCTTCCTGTGAGTCTAGAAGTTTGATAATGGCGTTTGGAACGTTAGTGGAATCATGCTCGACGTTCCAAACTCCATTGTCAAACTTCTAGACTCACAGGAAGGCGGCATTGAACGTCCGACGTACACGTTTTCGCGTTGAAAATGTCGGCCGCAACCTCTCTATTGTCGATTTTTTTTCTTTTATTCCTCTTCTTCTTGAAGATGAACTCCTTTGCTAACGAAGTGTGTTTAATTCGATGCATATATATGTCTAGTATTTAAATAGGGACCAGTTTATCAAAACCACCGAATGCCGGTAGTTGGTCGTGGGTTCGCGCCTCTCCACCTATACTTTTCCAGGTTTTCTTTACCTGTCTAGCACCTAAATAGGGGCAAGCTTTCTGTAGAAGGACCTCTCTGAAGTTATCCCCTTTGGCAGATCGTTTTCATGTTACATTGCCTTATCTCATAGAAACTAAACCAAATCCTCCCCCTTTTAATTGTTTTATGAGTTAAAACTTGAAGTTTAAGTGAATTAAATTGATATTTCTAGATTTTTAGTTGTGTTTTTGTTGCGATCGATCGATTTTTTTTTTCTTCCGTCGCTCTGATCAATCGAATCAAATGTTCAAAACTATGTAACAACGAAGTCTAATAGACTAAACCCAAGACGTGGGTTCGATCCCATTAACGACAAGACACCTCTTTTTTTGTCTCAGTATGGATTTTTGGGATAGGCAGAGGTGGTTTATACCTGATGTGGGTTCAGATCCCATTGAATACAATACTTTTTTTTCTGTTTGATTTCCGAGATGGGCATTTAATTTATATCAGATGAGTGCGTTCGGATCTCATTAGTGACAAAAACACCACATTTCTGTACGTGCCTCGGGTTCTTTTGGGGAGGGGGATGGGCGTATAGTTTATAAATAATGACACGAGATCTCATTAGCAAAACACACCCCCCATTTCGTGATCCCATTAGTGACAGAACACGTTTTATTCTTCTCGCATCACTGGTTTTATGCGGTAGGTTTTATATCTACAGGCGCGGTTTTACTTTCTGGATGGGCATGTGATTTATGTTGAAAAGCGTGGGTTCGGACCCCATACATGTCTTAAGCATTGTTTTCTATCTAAATTTTAGTTTTTTTTTTCTATGGATAGACAGGTTTATATACTAGAGTCTATTAACAATTTCATATCACTGTTCGTACTTTAAACAGATGAAAAAAATATCGTGAAATCCTTGAAATTGATTACTTTTATTAAAAAAAGGAAAATAGAATCAAGTTCAATTTTATTTATTTATTTTTTTTAATGAAAACAGTTACAAATCATTCTCGAAAGGCGAGTGTGGTCGTGGGTTCGTACCTGACCAACCGGCTGATTACGTGGAATTTTCCGAATTTTCTTCACGTGCCTAACACCTAAAACAGGTGCCATCCCACCTTGGCAGACCGCCCATGTGTTACGTTGATTTCGATCAATTCTATGAAACATGGGTTCGGTTGTGTCAACAGAACCACCAGAACACTGGAATGGACACGTGACTCTTACCAAATGACATGGATTTAAACCCCGAAACAAATTACCTGTCGTGATTGTAGAGTTGGGAAAATGATTTATGTTTAATTAATGGCGTGGGTTCGGATCACACTACAGACAATACGAAAAAAAAACGCTTCTTACATTGGTACCAAAGTTTTCTCATCTCATCAAACACAGAGCATTGTTTTATGTCTTAGCAATGGGAATTTTTAATGAGGATCCGAACCCACGTCCCGCATTCGTCAGCTAAATTGTTTGCATAACGTAGATTGTGTATATCGGAGCTTTTAAATTCCAATACCGAACCGAAGACAATTCTAATTTCAATTGTAATTAACTTCTAACGTTAAAGATGACCCTCCACCCCAGGCTATTGTCCTTCTACAGAATTTGGATGCAGTGTCCTTCCTGTACATCTGACACGCAGTTTCGAACTAGATAAGCATATATCAGCTATCTTGACAGGCGTGAGGTAGTCTCATCGATTTCAGTGTGATTTATGACAAGAAAAATTCGCGTGCTCTCCGATCTAATTTCAATAACCCCAAAGAAAAAAAAAATGTATATATATATATATGTGTGTGTGTGTATATAGAGAAGAGGGGAAGAAGCGAAGGGTCGGTAAGACTTCTAACGTGATTGATGTGTCGTGTGGTGACGTCAGAAGCAATATTTTGCTAAGAAAATTTTCTTCTATTCAATTATTCGACTTTTATATTGATAAAGTTTTCTATTATCTTGATGTAGACTGAAAGTCGGTTAACCGCTTTCTACAAGATTGTAGTTAATAAAACACTACGGTGGTTGACTGACTTTTGGACCACCTCCGCCTAAAATTTATATAAAAATAGGGGATATTCGAGCCCTATTTTTTACGTAAATTTTGGGATCTATGGTATGGTTAACCGGCTTTCGGGCCACTCTTTATAACTTTTGGGACGTTTGATTTCTATTTTGAGGGCAAGTCTTTAAAACCTTACATACGTCAATTTTAGGTTATACAGTTGTTAACTGACTTTTGGGCCACTATGTATGTAACTTTGGTGGTTTAATTGTTACTCGAAGGTAGGCTTTTCGAGCTCTTATGTAAATTTTAGGCAGTATTTAGACTCTCTTCGGTGGTTAACTGACTTTTGGCTACTGTAACTGTTGGGACGTTTAGTTTATATTCGAAGGCAAATCTTTCAATTCTTATTTATGTAAATTTTGGGCAGTAACTTACGCTTCACAGTGGTTAACTCACCTTTGGGACACCATATATAAATATAACTTTCGGTGCATTTCTTTTTTTAAATTGTTATCCAAAGGTATGCATCTAAAACCCTTATTTATGCAAATTAACAAAATAAATAACATAAATATACCCCCAAAAAAACAGCAACGCCGCTCCTCTCTTCACTTAGAAAAGCTGTTGGTTTATTTATTTATTTTTTTTTTTTTTCTTCTTCCAACACCAGAATCTCTCTTCTCGGTGTTAAAGGAGGGTTGTAGCTCCGGTATCTTTACACCTTTCCTCTACATTTGAGGCATTATCTCGTCATCTTTCTGTAGCATAAAATACACAAACACGCTGCCAGTCGAGATAAGGGGAATTTCCACTTCACACCTGTGGAGTTCAGGTAGTATCATATTATTTATCTAAGGCTTTTGTATTAAGGTTATGACCGTAAATCGGCCGGATGTCGAGCTTCCTCCTGGCGAATGATGCAGTTTTATGATGTTTTGGTGCGTCTAACGTAGCATAATCCAGATAAACAAGATTAAAACCCCCTCCCGAAAACTTTCCCTCGCTAGTATTAGTAATAAATTTTGTCTAACCTCTGAAAGTGTGCCTTCGTGTGTTAAAGTCACACACAGGGTTTATAAGTTAATGGTTGTAACCAATTAAAACCTTACTCGTTAATAATTATTTAAAACCGAATTAAGCGAAGCGCGTTAAATCTGCATTCTTTATGCCCCAGGCTCTTGCCCTTCCCCCCCCCCCTGTTTTTTCTCCTCTTCTCCCTGTTCTTCTCTAATTAACTCGGCGCGTGCGGCTCTAAAGGATAAGGTAAAAGGATAAAGGAGTCATTAGTTAGCTCCACCAGTTAATTAAAACAGTGGGGTAATTTTGTAAATTATGGACGATATCAAGCGCGATTAATTAATAAATTCCCCCCCGTCTTTATACTTAATTCTCGTGGAAGAGGGGTGGTGACGACTCTATCGAGTGTCAAAGGTCAACACGCCGGGAAGGTCGAATGCCACGTGTTATTCTGTGTGTGTGTGTGTTTTTTTTCTTGTTTTGTTTATTTAATTTTCGTGTAATTTCAGACGGAGTTGTCGCAGAATCTTCAGTCGCTATCGGAGAAGGCGAAGGGAGCAACCGAATTTATTCAGCGTTTAAAAGCAATGTCTGAAACTATTACAGTAAGTATTGGAAAGAGGTAACGGCGCCCATACGTTAAAATTGTTTCTCTCGCTTCCCCTCCGTTCGAATTAATACGATTCAATGTATTTTTTTCATCTGCTCGTGTTTACAGCACGCGAATATGTCCCTCTGTGACGTCACTTTTCCATTAGTATTCGCATTAGGGGATGGGTACTTGTTACGTAAATTGTCCGGAAGGCGACTGTTGCGTGTGGGGATAATTTATTATCATAGCACCTCGTCTGTTATTATTTATTTTATTTTTTCTGGTGTCAAAGAACTCGTGTATTTTCTTCCCTCCTTTTACTCTTTTTTTTCCCACCTTTTTCTCCTCTTTTTTCCCTCCTTTTTTCCCCAATTCCCTATTCTTCTCCTTTTTACCCTCTTTTTTTCCAATTCCCTAGTCTTCTCCTTTTTACCCTCTTTTTCCCTAATTCCCTATTCTTCTCCTTTTTGCCCTCTTTTTCCTCAATTCCCTAGTCTTCTCTTTTTTACTTTCTTTTTCCCTAATTCCCTCCTTTTTACCCTCTTTTCCCCCCAATTCCCTATTCTTCTCCTTTTTACCCTCTTTTTCCCCAATTCCCTAGTCTTCTCTTTTTTACCCTCTTTTTCCCTAATTTCCTCCTTTTTACCCTCTTTTTTCCCCAATTCCCTATTCTTCTCCTTTTTACCCTCTTTTTCCCCAATTCCCTAGTCTTCTCCTTTTTATCCTCTTTTTCCCCAACTCCCTATTTCCCTTTTTTCCCTCATTTTTCCCTAATTCCCTATTTCCCGAGCGCGTATCGTCTTCGAGGTTTTATTAACAGGAATGTGCATGTATATAAAATTTTCCATGTTTATAAAATACACGCCTACAATATGATTAAAATAATAATACATCTGTGACATTAAATTCGATTTCCTTTTTTAAACACATCAGCAGAATTATGATTGAATTTGCATGTGTTCCTATAGAATCGATAAGCGAACGCCTTGCTTCCTCGTGTAATTAATAATTCCTTTTTTTTTACTTATAAATCATTGTCTATTTGATTAAAAAAAAAATCTATTAAAGATCTGGCGTAATTTAAT